CATCCATCCATCCATCCATCCATCCATCCATCCATCCAAAAGATATATATCCATCTACCCATCCATCCACGAATCCACTGACCTTGACAAGCATCAACTCCTCCTTCTTGAAGTCCAGCACAAATCATCGAGTCATGGATTTCATTTGGATAGGATCGTAGACACTCTGCCTGGCTAACAATGGGTACTGTGGCTTGATGGAGGACATCAGGAGCAGCTCCACCAGAGCTTGTTGTTCCCCATCCAGTGATGTAGCAGTTGCTTCCCGGTGCAACATCTGAGATGGATGCCGGTAGGCAGACGGGGTGAATATGTCTGTGCCAGAGAAAGTTGTTAACGTTTACGATTAAATTTATGAGGACAAGGACATTATGAGCCTGGGTGGCGTTCGCGGCTAACGCGTCTTCTTTCACCGCTGTGAGTCCAACGCGTCGGGTCGCTGGTTCGAGCCCTGCGGTCGTCACATGTGAATTGAGTGTTGTGTGTTGTAAATATAGAACGTAGTGGTAGTGCGTGTAGAGGGAACCTCACGAAAGAGCCCCGTATGGGGAGTGGTGGTTGTAAAATATTATTAAAAGGAGAAGGACGTGGACAAAGACAAAGACAAGGACAAGGACAAGAACAAGGACAACAGGTTTACCAAATTTTTTGAAATATTCAACGAGAACGTTAATCTCACTCTAACCAACATTTAAAGGCTATTTAAACATACGTGGTGAAAATTGCTGGTTTGTCAAGCTTCAATAACGCGATGTCATGACTGTAGGAAATAGGTGATCCATACAACTCGTGCATAATAATCTTGCTGACTTTGAAGTCCTGTTCTGTACCTACGAGTCCGTTACGCTTGTGAGCACCAAGTCTGAAAAGAAGTAAAGACTTGCTCGTAATGTTTTTGACATTTTAGACCACGTGTCATTCTCTTGAGAATAAAATTATTTGTTTGAACTATATCCACATATATGCTCGTGCTTTCATTTGTGCGCGCGATTCTTTTGCTCGCGCATATGTACAACGTTTGATCGCGTAGATTTTGTTAATATTGTAACGTATTTTAGTTCCTCTGAGGATGACCTTGTCGGTCGAAAGCTAAGGAAATATAAAATTATTTTTAAAGGTTGATGAGTCAATTTGAGTTTCATAAGGAAATGATACTTTAGGGAATAACAAGTGGTCTTGCATTGTATTTTATTTAATCTATTGTTAAGAGTAGTTTTTTTTATTTTTTACTGTACTAAATTCAGATTCATCCATTCAAGATTCCAACTCATCACAACTACATGAAACCGACACTAGAAAAAATCGTTTGCGCATGCGTGCATTTTAGCACGTTTTCTAAGTATTTGAAGAGTTCGAGTGAGAAAATAAATGTTTGTTTTCTCCAAGTATACTAAAAAGTTCGAGAGTATACTTTTGTCAGACCAAGATACTGTATTAGCAAACACAATATGAAAGAATTACCCTTAAGTTTTGACACTAAGTTTTGGCAATTTGTGAAGTCCAATTTATCAGGCATGTTTGAAAGTCAAATTTACATATGATTTGACTAATTTCCATAAGGATTCAGAGCATGCGCAGACGTTTTTCACTCGTGTCCATGAAACCTGCCTTATTACTTAATCAAGTAATGCAAAAAGACAAACACTTATACTACCTCACTTGAATCTGATTGGCTTTCTTTTTATCGACACAATGTGAAGCTGTAACAACCACAGAACTGTCCCCATCGTTTACCACGTCGGGCAAGAAGCATCGCCTGCCACGGCCAATCACCATGCTGTGCTGCCTGACCTCCTACAATCCTCGTGTTGGGGCGAACACCACATGAAGCTGAAAGACATCGTCTTCTTAGTAATGTTCGTCGTGAAAGGTGTTTTAAAAAGGAATTTAACCTTATAAATATATCGAATTTAAATTAATTTTTTTGAGGTCTCAGCAAAGAAAATATCTCAATTATTGGCGATGAAACTATGTCATTAAACTGTTTTCGCACGTTATTACGCAGCTCTACCATGTTGTCACGAAAAGAAAATTTGATCACTCCACCAAGGAGTAAGCTAATGAAGATAAGAATTGGAGAAAGTAAAAAAATATATATTATAATTTTACTTACTCTGAGACAAAGCTCCACCAATAAAACAAAGAAGGATAACAAGCACGAACATCTTTGAAGCTAAGGGTGTCACAAGAGGATGCAAGGGCCTCTATTGTGGCCATCCTTAGCGATATTTATAGGCTTATGAGAGACGATTAAATTAGAAGTCTGACAATCATCTGAACAACTGCACAAACTTTTCCAGCAAAGCTTTAATTTGGCGGTTTTTGAACAATTACTCGAGCTAAGCATCTGTCACAAGGATAAAAGAAATAGAGCTGTCAATTTTCTTGTGAAGATTATTCATTCCTCTCAAAATGACGCACTTCAAACAAGCTGAACTTGCAAAGGTTAAGATTATTTATTTTTGCTGAAGCTTTAGTCGATTCAACCTGCAAATGTATGACATACTGCTGGCAATAATACACACTTTGAAAAAATCCAAAGACAAAACTGAAGTTTATACCCTTTGAGTTACATTCTATTGACGACCTACGATTTAAGGGGAATTAAATATGTTACATTAGTAGGTAATATATTATAGAACGATGATACAATTATTACATTAATTGTATCACATCACTCTATAATCCCATATAAGCAACTATTGTATCATTTTCAAATCATCTTTCCCAGTGTCCAAATTAAAGATTGATTTGAATTGTTTCCATTCGCGTTCTTTCGAGAGAAAACTATGGACTTGTGGAATCAGTCTAGTATAGTTTGGGATGATATAATAAATCTGCAATAGGACTACATGTCTGTCCAATTTGGAAATAATTGAATTCAAAAAATTTCCTCTGACTGCTAAATTGGATTCGGCCTATCAGCCTCTTCCAGTTTTGTCAGTCCTCGGATTTTTTTTTTCTTCATCCAATTATTTCCAAATTGGACAGCATGTAGCCCCATTAACTATACTAAATTTCTATACGATTGAAGAGAAATAAAATATTTTAAATAATATATCGTAAGCAAACAACACAATGAAGAAGTGCTCACTAATTTGTGCTAATATATAAATATTAAGTCAAGGACTTTGCACTACATAAATCTTATTTGATATTTTAGGGTGCAATATGGGTGGAATTTTTTTCGAGTCTGCTGTTTTTTGTCAAGCCCGATTTGGTGAGACAAGATACAAAGACGAGAAAAAATGTCCACTCTTATTCCACCCTAGAATGTATATCAAGTCATGTTATTTATTATCCAGCTGATCTTACTTTTCCCAAAAAATGCTTTAAAACGAATATTATTTTTTAAAAAAACTAGTTTTCAAAACCGGTGTTTTTACTGTACAAAATAACCTAAAGTACGAATATCGCAAAAAATAAAAAAGAAAGAAAGAAAGAGAATTACAAGTGATAAACACGATGGATGGGTTGAAGGCCTGATGGGTTGATAGGTGGATGGGCGGATGGGCGGATGGGCGGATGGGCGGATGGGCGGATG